TTGTTTGCTCATGCAACATAAACCCTCAACTTTCCTTTAGGCTTTTGTATCTCTTTGTACAATCTAAGCCCTAACTCGTCTTAGGATTTCGAGGTTGTCGTTCGTTATAACCTAAATCCTCACATCTTCCAGGTTATTTGTGTGATCGTTTCACACGAATGTAAGCTCTAAATAATAAAATTGGCAGAATGAAACATTCAAATAATTTCTCCTCTAAATTGAAGCTAATTCATAGGATAGTTTAGGAAGTCACCGAGGTTCTCCTCAGAATCCATGACATCCCCTAGTTCTTCTTCTTTTGGATTCCACAAATAAATGTTCCAAATTTGAGTCATTTCCCTTTCACACCTCTTTTATCCGATTTCATTGAAAATGTCCTATTCCTTTGAACTCCTTGAAGACGATATTTTTTTATTTTTATCGAGAGTTTTCTTAGATGACTTCGATTATCTAAGATGTAATTAACTATAGGGGCTTGCCCTTATAGGAAACGTTAACGAACCCAACTTAATATATACCCTATTTAATTCTTTGTATTAAATAGGGAAACTTGTTGGCTTATAATAAAATGGTTTTGCTGACTAAACAAATGTCATACAACCTTTAGTTTATTTAATTGAGCCACCACCAATAATTAATGTATTTATCCCTCGGGATAGGTGCACTGCTTGCGGTATTAGGCTCGTTTAAGATCAGTTTGATTTCATATTATTGTAAACTAAAATCAAATATATATGTAAATTAAACGTCCTTCCGAAGCGGGCGACGGGATCCCGATTCCGGTGACCGACAGCTTCCAATAGACAGCTTTTAACAAAATAGTTTCTACAACATCTCACCAATTTGTTAGCTGACTCCCTTTGTAGAACTAGAGGAAGAGACATGGCTAAATTGACTCGCCCCTAATTTGCGTTTTGACATTTTTTATTTTTTTCAGCTTACATATACCTTTCCTTTTTGGGATTTTTCAGCTTACATATATCTTTTTTTATTTTAATATATTTGCCCTTGGGCTTTTTATTATTATTATTATTATTATTATTATTATATAT